GAGATGGTCGGCAGACCCAAAGCACATAGAAAAGTGGCTCGCTTTGTTGTTGCTTGGATCAAAAGTAAAAAATAATTTGGCAGCAAGCAATCGGCAGGCAGGCATGCAATCTCTGAAATCTTCTCCTTTCTCTCTTTCCTTGTTGTTTGAATAACGTGAAGAAGCATCGTTAGCGGTACAAAGAAACTGTCCGCACATATGTACAAATCATAGTGCGTGTCGCCAAAAATTCAAAATTTAAAAGCCGTTGAGTGTCAGTGTGTGGATGGATCGGGCTGCCTCCCCGCCTCACATGCATGCCTTTCAACAACACGTCATTGCACTGAAAGGAGCCTTCGGCCTGCATTTCCCATTGCTCATTTTCTGAGGCTTGTTTTTTTTTTTTTGGCAGGCTCTTGATTTTTCTTCGAAAACAGAATAATAATAGAGGGGTCGGTGGGTTTCATTCATCATCTGATCTGATCTGATTACCTCCCCACACTCCACATCACACTCAGACTTTGCATAAAATAATATCGTTTTTGTATATAAATATTGTCGAGTGATATCTACGATGAGGTTTTGTATCAAAAGGTACATTTGTGAAAGAACTAAGGGCGCGTTTACTAATTCATAATTAGATTGAGATGAATTGAATTGAGATGGAATCAGAATCAGATTTTTGTTGAAATTGTTTACTTAAACTGTCTGAAATTAGAATAGAAATGACATTGATATATTAAAATCGTTTACTAATTCACATAAATCGGAATGAAAAATAATGTGATTACTAAAATAAATATTTTAACTAATCTATGTTATATGCTAATTACTTTTAATTATTTTTTTTTAGTACAGAGAATACTTTTAGGCTACCTTTTTTTTAAAAGTAAACTTTCATATTTTCATATTTTTAATATTTTGTTGAGACCTCTACCACTCCGTCTCTCTGTCTTTCCCATATTTTCATTTTCTATGGTGACCCAATCCCTTTTCCCCACCCTTTAACCCATAGCCGCCTTTCCTGTAATCACCAGCCGGCTCCCCTTGCGCTCTCTCTCTCTCTCTCTCCCCTACAAATTCATCTCTCTCCACCTATTCTTGATTTTGTAAATGTTTAAACCGGCGAGATCGAGTCGGTGGATGAATTGAATTGATTGTGGTCGTCGCCATCAAAACTGAAATCCAAAATCTCCTATCTTCTTCCCTTCTGATTTTGGTCATGAAACCTGCACAATCCCACAAGCCATGAAATATGTATAATCTTTCTTGGCATAGAGAAGTGGAGATAGAGATAGAAGGAGAGAAGGGTAGTTTGGGGTAGAAAAGTTTATTCCGGATTGAGGCGTTCTTCCGAAGTTGAATTACTACCCATTGTTCAGTAATCCAATTCCGGAAAAATCAGTAACCTGTTTCCCATTTTAAGTGGGCCCCACGGATGCTTTCATTCCTCCAAGTCTTGGTAAACGCGTTGGATTGTGTGCAATTCCCCATTCCCATTTCCCTTACGTAAACATGCCATAAAAGAATTATGTATTTTTGACGTGATTCGTTCTCCTCTCTTTTTTCCTGTTGATCTGGACGTGATTTGGGGTCCTTGGGATGTATTTTAATATGAGTTTCTTTCTTGTAAATGTAAGGAAAGCAGGGGAAGTAATACATGCATATATATAGATCATCCCATCATATATATGAATTTATGAACCAAAGTCTTATCAATTTATTATTGAGAATCATGTTCAAGTGTAAACGCATGTATGAAAACGTATCATCTGCAACGAATGACATATATGGTAAGAATTCAATTGTCTAAAATTTTTGAGGATGTGAAGAATTTGGAAGTTTACCGAACCTTGCGTGAACTTATAAGGAGTTAGGTTATTCTTTATATTGTCAATTGACTTACGGTGAAATCTCAACTTCCTTCAAAGCTCATGGAGAAATCAACTGACAATGCCTGAGTTTGGTACATGTTTTCTTGGCGTTGGGTCTGGAATCTGGTCACTCTTGATCCTTATTACCATACTTGGAGGTTTGGAAGGTTAAAGAGCACGGTTTGAACTGCTCTTAATCACACAGGACAGTTCTTACAATATGGAAGTGAATTTCTCCAACTCATTCTCTGTTATTGTCCTTAGAAGGGACGAAGGTGTCACCGGGTCAGAAGGAATTGACACCTACAACCAAGTATCGCGTGCATTGTGCACTCCTTTAATTATCACGTATTTTTGTCTACATGATATGTATTTTCTTTAAAGTGAATTACACTTCTTACGCTTAGTTTGAAAACAAAATTCATGAATTGAAAAACTTGTCGTTCTCTTAACCTTGTAAATTATGACTTGTCATAGCACTTTAGAATGGTCATCTTAAGCTTCTCTCTCGCTTACTCTTTTATTTTTCTTCATTAGAAAATGTTTGAAGGCTACTTAAAAGTGCAAATAACAAATTCCTAAGTTATCAATTATTTTTCGATATGAATACATAAATCACTGTTCAAAAAACCGGCCTAGGAGTTAGGCAAAGGTTGGGCGTCCCCGATTAGAACCTAGGCGCCTAGGAAATCCGTGAAACCTCTAGGTGGAAATTAGGTGGTCTGGTGGCTCTAGTCCGTCCTAGGCAGTCCAATTCTTTTTTACTTTTTATTTTTAGGTTAAGGGTTTGGAGATAATTTCTTGTAAAATAATTCTTGACTTTCTTTGTTGTAAAATAACTCTGAATATATATTTCATTTTATGTATTCAATCAATTTTAGTACTGATAATTTATATATCCTTTCATTTTGCATTTATGTTTCCAAATACAATTATGTACACACACACACACACACACACACATATATATATATATATATATATATTTTAAGTATAATTGTATAAGTAGTCACGTATTTATATATTTTTATTGTTGTATAATCAATTTGATTAAGATTTAAAAAAAAAAATGCTTAGGCCACTCAGTACTACGGTCTGGTGACATTTATCTTCATTTGGAAGTGAGAGGTCTTAGGTTCAAATCTCATGGATGGTGAATTCGATACCAAATTAGGTTTTTCATTGTATGGTTAGCCGAACTCCCCTTCTCTTAGTATAAAAATATCGATGTACTAAAAAAAAAAAACCGCTTAGGCCCTAGACCCTAAGCCCTTATTCAACATCGACTAGAACCTAGAGCTTTTTAGAACCTTGAACGAAATCATAAGCAAATAATAACATTTAATAGATTTGATTTTTAAAACTTGAACAAATCCTCCAAAATATAAGTAATCAGTAATGCATTGTGTTCTAATCCTTTTTCTTTTGGAATGGTTGGCCGATTAAAGTTGAACTAGATGGAACCTCTCCTGACTTTAGGGGAATAAGTTCCATTTGTTTGCAACTAACAAGGCCATCAGGTGGTTGCACTACCTTTTTCTTCAATCAACGTGGTTATATACAAAGGCAACAGTTGTCAATAGAATAAATAATAATTTACTCGATGATGGTGGCAATGGCATGGTGTGTAAGATAATCAATTAAATAATGATAATTAATCAGGTGGATTAGTCACTCGATTAGGCCATGAAGATGGTGGAACTGAACATATGCGATGAATTAAGGGTATGGTCAATTGACTTTTCTGCTAAGTTGGGGGCAATTTGGCTTTGTGTAAATGGATTGACTTGTTCATCATCTCCTTTCTTTCTTTCTTTTTCCTTAAAAAGAGCATTAGTTGGTGGTTTCGTCATGTTAGTTTATCATTTTGGAGGACGGACACAGATGCATTTCAGCCTTGTCTTGGCCGCCACCATCATATGATTCATTAATGCTAAGAATCGAACCCAAAACATACCGTGTAGAATACAAGTTTAAAATTCGTCCTCAATTGAACTATCTCGTGGTGATTCATCATAGTATCTATTCTTTCATTGACATGTTTTTATTGTGGTGTGGGGAGAATGAGGCTGGGACCAAAGCATTGAGGCACATAAGCTTCACACCAATCTAGAATAATATTGACCCAAACCCATGAAGAACAAATTCACCCATTAACAAAAAAATAAAAATAAGGAGATTTTCATACTTTTATATGGTCCCATCCATCCCATTTTCAGAGTGAAGGATAACCTTTTTATCTTATTTTGATGAATTTGATTATTAAAGGTGTGAATTTTAGAACAATTGAGATCATGCGCCACAATAACAAAAATAAAAACACAACCATTTTCTCACAATGACAATGTATAGTTTGACAAGGGTTGGACGAAGTTCATGGTTTATAGGCAAGCAAATTAGATTCCCATTAAAATAAAATAAGGGATTGGACTGCAAACAATTTGTGGTTAAAATGTTAAAATTATAAGAAATGAAAAAGAAGAAATTGTACATTTGTCTAAAAAGTATTCAAAATCGAAAAAACTGAATTTTGGAAAGGTCATTATGTTTCAATACACTATGAGATGAAAACGAAAAAACAGTATATTTATATACTTAGTCTAAAAAAGTAATGAACGTATAAAATAGAGAATCTATTTGGATCTAAAGTTCTGAGTTTAATTTTCTCCTTTTAATATCATTTGTATCACAATAGAGATTTATATTATATATCATATAACATCTATATTAATTCATGTATCACACGATACTACATCAAGAGGCCTAACATATACATAACACAATATTTACTCATGGCAACTTGCAAGTAGAATGTACGACCGGAAAATAGGTAGCAAGTTAATGGGTGGGATTGGTCCTAGATAGCTAACTAGGGCCTATATGCTGGTTGGTTCAAGTCATCAATCATCAAGTGAAGTGGCTAGAGCCATAGCCACGCATTTGTCATCTCATCATAAACGCAAATATATGTCTTCTCTTATCTTTTTGAGTCTTTGCAGATGAGGTGAATCTATCGTTTGGATTTCTAGTGCTATTTTGGCCCTTCGCTTGGATATCTGTGGATAACAACATTTCCCTAGTATTTTAGGTCGTCTTTTGTTATATATAACCCCTCTAAATAGTATTTTTTTTATATTTGTTTTCTTTCTACATCTCTCTCTCTCTCTCTCTCTCTCTCTCTCTTTTCTATTCTGTTCTTCTTTTAGCTGTTCATACCTTTTGTTTTTGTCCAAACCCTAGACTCATCGAGACTCAGGAGAAATGTATCACAGTCATCACTTTGGTCCATGTCTTCATTGCCACCCTCAAAGCTACATTAGAATGGTACTCTCTCTCTCTCTCTCTCTCTCTCTCTCTCTCTCTCTCTGTGTCCCAGTACACACACATCGATCGCACTATATGCATGGCAATAGTTTCTAGTCTTATTTTGCATGGAAATTGTAGTACTGATACCGATACATATAAAAAACAGGTTCAACATCTTATTGAGAGATGCTTGCTACTTCACATGAATCGTGACCAATGCATAAAGGCACTAGCAGAGCATGCACGCATTAGGCCACTCGTCACGCTTACAGGTCTGTCTCTCGAGATTTTCTCAATTTTCAAGTGTAAAATACGTATATATGTGTGTGTGTGGCTAGTTAGTTGGTTTAATCGTGTATGTGTGAGTGCTGAAAGCATATATATATGGTTGCAGTATGGAGAGAGCTACAAAAGGAGAATAGGCACTTCTTCCAAGCATACTTCCACTCTATTTCTCCCAGACCTTTAATGGGTAAGAACCCAGCTCATCTCTACTTTTCTTATTTTTTCAGAATTATTTGCATTCAATACGCTCATAAATTACTCCACAAAATTAGATATATGTATATCTAACCCCAACCACACCAATACACACACACACACACACATATATATATGCATCATTGTAACTGTGTGACATTCAATCGGGAAGATTTATTCATATATGTATGTATGTATGTATATAAGGATACATACTCATACAGCAATGGGGCCTAAGAATAATTAATAAGATTTTTAAAATTATAGCAAACTTAATTATATGAGGTTGCTGCATTTTCTATGTTTCAGGCAGTTGTATTCAAAGGGGGCCAAGATTTGGAAGAAGGAAACAGCACTGGAAGTGAATGTGGTTTTTCTGATATATGTGTGAGGAAGTTAAACTAATTAATTACAACTCAAAACTAGCTAGCCATCATTTTGAATATCCTAGTTTGTAATTATAGCTGAAAATAACGTTCGATGATTTGGGAAAATGGATAAAATCCCAGTCAAGTATAAAATATTTTTGCTACTGATCATGACTGTGTGTGCCACAAATATAGGTTTTATCTAGTTTCCCACAAGGGCTGGGGCACTTTTTGAATGGTTTAAGTTGCGACTTTGCCTTAAAGATAGATTTTACTATGATTCATCAGCATCTATTTCCGTTGCCTGAATTTGTAGTCATTCAAACCAAGCATAGAGTTTATTGGAGGTAGGTAAATCAAGGAGACTCCCTTGGCCGAGAGAACCATGCATGAAAATTTCATCTGTTTCATGTGAACATGATCAAACATCTATATGTATATGTATATACATATAAACACATCACGTATCCATGCATCATTCACAATAATTATTGAAAAACATGGGCAAGATAATTAAACAAACGATGTATGACAAACTACTCAAACACATCCTAGTTTTGAAATGTGTCATTAATTGTCTCTTATAATAACAGTCCCAGCTAGTCTGTAACCAAGTCTCTGGCACATCTTATTGAGGAAATGTAGCTGTCACAACCATATGGAATTTGCATGCAGTCCATAACCATAGAGAAATTTGATTTACTTGGAAACTGAATTGAACTAGAAAACATTGAGTTTGTTTAACTGAACCAAATCAAATATATTAACTCTATCACAATCAGCAAGCTCATCTGAAAGCAAATCGATCGAGTACTACTTCTTTCTGCAGTCAGTGAAGACTTTTGTTATCAACATCTGAAACGAAAACCACATTCCCTAGAGAATCTACTCTTAAAATAGCAAATGACTGTAACCCTAAATCGTGGGCCTGAAAATCAAACGGCTTTCTTGTTATAGAAGTTTAGGTCAAGTCTTCATTCACTCGAAGGGTGTCCTTGCCCATATGGAATGCCTTGGGGCCTTTCTCTCGCGGGAACCTTTGCCATGTTCGACTGCCTGAAATTTTCACAACAGAAAGTTATGCATAAATACATGAGTGGCATAAATTAATTATTATACACACACACAAGGATTGTGACAAGCTTTGGGATATTCAATATTACTATTAGCCTTCCTGCAGCCCCCGGACCTGGATAATTGCTATATATTCTGATCATTAGCAGGATTAATTATATTAGAAATGATTACATTAAAAGTTTAGTCAGGGTTTAGTAACCTATAAACAAAATTCAATTAGGATTTACATGCTTGTGATCAATATTTTAATCACGCATGCTGCATAACTAAGATCTGTAAACAATAGTCAATTAGGGTTTACTTAATTGATTACTCTTTTGGCTTTCATGTTTTGTTAGGTAGAGTTGAAATTAATCTGATGATCAAAGTTGGGAACTTAGGGTCTTTGGTTTACCTCAGGCATATCAGATTTCCATGCCGCATTTTCCTCTCTCAGCTCGCTGCAGGTGCAACTCTCTCCATATGGACCATCTTCTTTGTACTGAATTGGAGGGAACTGTGCCCACTGCACATAATCAAACACGCAAAATCACAAAGTTAAATAGTACTATAATTCAATTTCATTACTGATCATCTTGGCTATAAAAGACCTTACATTTTTTGCAGCTGTACTGAAAGCTTCCTTATGAGTCATGCTTGGATTCTCAGCCTTAAGCCTCCTGATTTCTTCCCTGTTTAACAGATGAAAGTAGTATAAAAGTTTTAAAACTCCCCATTGAATCTCAATCACATCTTATGCATGTAAAGTGAATAATCTTACTTGATAAATCGGTTGTAAGCCGATGGAGCTCGTTGTCTCTTCTCCGGCGCTACATACAGATTGATAATAGTAATTAAGATAAGGTTGATGCATTGCACCAAATCATGTATGGATTATAAACATAAACCAAACTATGTATGGATTATAAACATACGTTTGTTAACAATGGGATTCATGGAGATTATATCCTCATCTTCATTGTCAGAATTGGAAATCACCATTGATGGGCTGCGCATGTCCAAGGAGTTTTGCTTCTCCACCATTTCCTCCAAGCAAAGTTCTTCTTTTTGCTACAAAGAGATCAAAAATTTCACAGAGACACTATCATATTGATTAAGACCTAAAAACCCTATGAAATATAAAGATCCAGATGAGATTTATATATAAAAAAAATTACTCATACATATATAGGTTTATATGTACCTCATCTTGGGTAAGTGAAGCTAAGAGATGAAGGGGAACAAAGGAGGCCTTCATCATGTTCACTGATAGGAGGCAACTGCAGTGACCACATCGGACCGTGACGGCCAACATTGACAAGCTGCTGCATGGGACGCTCACCTACGTTTTTACATAAAACCAATCGGTCAAACTTGCCAAAATAATAGAAAAGAGTAAGAAACAGATCAAAACCCAAGAATTAATTCAGTCATGCTAGCTTTATCAAAATTTTCTCAATCTACTAGTAAAAAAGAGGGCAAATATTGAGTAACCAGTAGTATGGTAGTGCAGAAGCCACATTGGACATAGCAAATCTGGTCTGGAAGATCGAAGAGATGATTCAGTGTTGACATGTTTGTGTGTTTTCTAGAGAGAGAGAGAGAGAGAGAGAGAGAGAGAGAGAGAGGAGGTGAACAAAAGTAAGTGTTATAAAACGGGAGGATTTATATAGAAGCTGGAGGACAATCATCATAAATAAAAAAATCATTATGAATTACTAAATCACTAACTTTCGTTGACGATTATTACTTAGTCATGGTCAATATGCATAAGTACTTCTATGTGATTTGATCCACGTTGTTTGAGGAAAAAGACGTGTGCTAGGTTTCACTGCTATATCAACGTGAAGTGGGGATGGTGAGTAAATAAATGTTGAAGCACTTCAGATTGTTTGAAGTCTAGGGTTCTTTATCACTCCATACCCAAATTACAGGCACACCCCTAAACCCTAAAATGGTGAAAATGGCAACACCTTTGCAGCCATATCTATTTCTGATGTAAAACTTCAATCGAACGGCAGGTGAGTAGAGTGATTAGCTAGCTAGGATTAGAGAAGCTCCTTTAGTTTCATGCGTTATTTTCTCCATAAATTGACTCTCTTTTCTCCCACGTGAAAGTGAAAGTGAAGGTGCAGCAAGTTTTACCATAAGTAATAAAGTGGATGTTTCTAGAAGCATGCATGGAGAAGGAAAAGTGGCATCTTAGAATTTGTCTTTTCCTGAAAGAAGAGCAAGGTCCAATTGATATAGGAAGGTCTCTCGACTCTCTCCTTTGCTTTTTGTGCTGCCCAGTTTTGGTTCATAAATGACCTATATCTACTGCACCAGTTACCGTTTTAACTAATTGACATTGATCCACTATGTGGTAATTAACTCTCCCCCATGTGGTTGTAAGTGAGAGTTCAAGATCAAAGGTCCCCACATCCCCACAGATTGAAAATTGAAAACTCAAATGTGCATATATATATTTGCTGTCACGCAAAAATGAGTGTCAGTCAGGTCATTGTTAATTCCTCATTGTCAATATTTTTCCTAACCCTAGGGACAGTCAGTACTAACATTTACAGTAAGAATTTTGAATTCCTCTTGAACTAATTAGGAGTTTTAGTTTTAGTTTTGGTATGAAGCAGAGGTAACTAAGTTGTGATTGTTTGCAAGGAATCAAGAAACATCGAGATCTAATTCCATATCTCTTACAAATATTCATGTTTTGGTTGTCCCTAGCGTGAAGTCTTTCATGTCTAATCTCTATTTTTGTTTTTCATTACTTGTTGGTTAGAGCCTAATCATCTATAGTTTTGTTAAGAAATGGGTTTCTAGCTATCATTATGTGTGCATTGTATGTAGGAAGAGAGCATTTTAAAATTCATGTATTTTTTCCTTCTGGGCCAAAAATCTTTAAGCTTCTATCATTTGCATGCACAAAAAAGTTGTTGATCCATGTTTAATGATATCATTTGTGCAAAGAGACTCGTATTTTGTTGTATTTTTTGGTTCTTAGTAGCATCAGTAGAGAAGTGTTAGGATCAGTCGCGCACATGTGCATGAGTTGATTGTAGCTAATTCTGCTTTATAACTCTCAAAAAGAAAAAAAGAAAAAAAGAATCAGCCTACATGCACAAGTGCTACTAATTCCTACCTTTTCCCATTATCCGTAGAGCATATATAATGATAAATAGGAAGAAACTTGTATTTGCCGTAGTTCATGAAATGGCTTTGCTTTTTACAATTACCGATGGGTACTTCCCTCCATACACAACATATTGGGCAGCAAGACTTATACAAAGCTGCAGTGAAGCTTTCATTCCCGAGAGCACCTACCCTAAAGAGGAAGATGAATTGGAAATTCGGAACCCTATCTCTGAAGTGGGTCATTCAGTAGTCAAAAGAAAG